GAGAATGATTAATTATAAAATATAGTGTATTGGTAAATTAAATTTAATAAATTTCTTAATAAATATGAAAACATTAAAATATGAAACATTTTGAAATAGAGAGAGTAACTGATATCTACCCCTTAGCCCATTTGCTAGAAAAACCGTTTAGGTTAAACACTTAAACTATAATGGTGACGAGAAATTAATTAACATGCTTAAAGCTCTTTAAAAATTAACATATGAAGATAATCTTGTAGTGAAAAAAAGAAAGAAAGATAATCTTATACTCTTTTTGTTTCATTTTAGGTATCACTTTAGCTCTATGCACATGGAGTAAAAAACAACTAATTTTTATATAAATATTTACACTATAAATATATTTTAATCAAAATAAATAAAATTAATTAATTTTGCATTGAAAACTGAAATGACATTTATATTATAACAAAAAATTTATATTGTGACACATAGAGTATCTCCAAAAAGACTCACTATAATATTTGCAATTTGGTCCTTATATTTACATATCTTATTTATGATTCTTAAATATTTTCTTATTTATCATTTTAATCTTTAAAAAGTATTATATCTCACAAATCTTCAAATTTATTTCTATATATTAACCTTTACACATAAGATTAAATAAAAAAAATAAAATAAAATTTATATTATTATAAAGTAGAATTAGACAACAATAATATTACAAAACAAACTTAATTAATATTATTTTTTTAAAAAAGGTACATGAAAACATAATTATTATATAAATTTAAATATTACAACAACACTAATAATCCGGTAAATCTCTCCCGAAAGCTCCAAAATCTTCAAATCCAAACAAGTTTTTTGTAACCGAAGATGGGTGTTCTTGTTTTTCTTGACGTGTTTTACGTATGAGTCTTTCTTATTCAGAACGAATGTATTCACGAGTACTAATATGGCGGAAAATGAAGATATCTGTTTACAAAATTTTTTAACTCGTAATCTACAGATTAAATAAAATAAAGAGAGTCATTTCTTACTTCAAAATGCATTAGTTGATCACATATGGGAGTATTACATAAATAATTTTATGGAATAATGTGGTATTTTGTTTGTATTTTAATATTTAATTATGTATTTCTATTTCTAGTTTTATATTTTCATGTAAACTTTTATCAATTAATATTGTTGTAATATTTATATATATGTGTTTGTTATTTATCAAAGTTTTATGGATTTTCATTAATTGTGACAAATATAAGGACCATAATGTAATATACAAATAAATTTGAAGTTTGTTTTGAATTTTTTCTTTTGGAGAATAATAGTTTGAAATTTTAAATATAGAGTTTGTGAAACTTCAAAATAGAGTTTGTTTTTGGAGATGCTCTTAGTATGAATCTGAGAGAGTAGTACGAAAACTAAATTAATGATACAGTAAAACCTCTATAAATTAATAATGTTGGGACTTTAAATTTTTATTAATTTATAGAGATATTAATTTACGAAAATTTTCTTATTTAGATTTTTTTTTCCATTTTTATTTATAAAATAAAAAAAAAATATTTGATTTTAGCATATGTACATTATTTAAATTTTAGAAATTTGACTTTTATATTGTATTATTATCTTATTTGGTGTATATTTTATGTTTCATAGAATTGTTACATGGTTTTTGATATAATTTAACTAAATATAATCAAAATATATTGAAATATTTTAAAAAATAAAATTATTTTTATAGTAAAAATAAAACCCCTAACTTAATATTATCAAAATATATTGAAATTTTTTTAAAAAAATAAAAGTATTTTTATAGTAAATATAAAACCAAGAATTTAATGTTAGATTGTACTTATATAAAATTATATATAGCTAGATTATTAATTTATGATTTTAGTGGGACTATATATTTACATAACAGTTTTAAAAATTTTATTATCTTATTATTTTATCGATTTGTGTCATATTTTACACCGGCCCAAAATTAGGACTGATGAAATTTGTTAATTTATAGAGATTATTAATTTATCAAGTATGAATTTATAGAGCTTCTACGGTAGTAACATTCTTAACTGCCCCACTTTCATCATTTACACACAAAATCACATTCTGACACGTGTAAGTGTCTGTATGTGTATAAGTGTGTGTATATGTGAATATTTGATAATTTACAGAAATCTCTAAATTTGTGCATAAATTTGCTATCTTATTGTCTACAGGCTATCATTTGTTTCAAAATAAAATAATAATCTACAGGCTATCATTTAGACTTCTGAAGCCTGAAGGTCCTACCAGAGTTCTAGATACTCCATCATAGAAGTAAGCTTCATCAAAATATATATTTGGTCAACGACTCTGTTTTAAGCTTAGTTATAATGGATTCGTTATTACCCCTATGTTTCAATTAGGGCTGGGCGTTTTATCCGTTATATTTGATTCGATTCGTTATTCGTTTCGATTCGATCCGAAAATTCCGGATATCCGTAAACTTTCGAATCAAAGCAAATACTAAAATTCAATATCCGTTAAAATCGAAGCAAATCACAAATAGTAAATTTTTGAGAGGCGGATATCCGATCCGATCCGTAAATATATAAAATATATGTATATCTTGATTATATTTAACATTTTAAATGTAGAAAATTATATAATTATTATTCTAGCATATGATTTTGAACAATTCTATTCAAATTATTACTTATATAAAAGTATTACATAAAAAGAAAGAAAGAAATTATAACAATTATATTTTTTTCTTAAATTTTGTGTTATTATAATTGTAACTTAAGCTTAAAAGTTTACAAAATATATAAATTCACTAGTTCTTTTAAGTTTTATTTTATATATCATGCAAAAAACTTTTTTGCAAAGCCAATTTGTATCAAAATCTTAAGATTATTTGTATTAATCAAAATGGATGAGATATCCGTAAATATTCGTAAATATCCGCAAATATCTATTTATTTTCCGGATATCCGTTTTTCCGGATATCCGTATTTTTTCGAAGCAAAGCAAATACCAAAATTAGATATCCGTAACATTCGAAGCAAATCACAAATACCTTAAAAAACC